TTACTAGAAATGCACCAGAATGAGTGTCTGAAAATGTTAAGGCAATCAGCCGCCAGACACAGTCTATATTGTCAAATATTTCTTTAAAAGTGCTCAAATTAATAGCTGCTTTTCATGTTGCTCCGGTAAAGATCAACACGAACACCGTCTATATCCCGTGTCTTGTTCATCTATTTCCGATTATGCAAAATAACCATACGTCCGCAGATCCGATATCAGATCACGTATTTTCTGGATGTTTGTTATAGAATAAACAACTTAATTATGGAAAGACGTCTTGATTAAATATATACCTGACAATTTTCTTCGGTCGATAAAGAATTTCTGCAACTATAATCAAATAATATTTCGTTCAGGCCATTATTTCTTTCTAGCATCCATCTGCAACTATATTACACGTTCCATGTATAAGAAACTATATTCTATCTAAATAAGATTAAGGAGAAAATAAAATTAATTAACCGGAACTTCCTTTTAAGATAGTGTTCGGGATTGAGTCAGTCTTACTCGTGACATTATTCTGTAATCATCGGCGATTTTCTCGAATAACAACAAAAAAAGCAAATCATGACCTCTATCCTCATCGCTTGTCACATAGGAAAATATGTGGTCACCCGAAATGTTTTGTAACGAAAAAGACATATGTCGTGATATAATCGAACTAAAGATAGATTTAGTTTCTTCACAGAAAACAGACGTCATTTATTCTGACTTTGCTTCAAATACTGAAAGAAATTGCCGAATATATCATGCGTAATTTACACTGCTTTGATGTATAGATGGGTTCTACAAAGCAATAAAATTCAGTTTTGAAAGCTGACTACAGATATATGCAAATTTAAAATGAAATTAACCTTGAATAAATGATTTCGTCAACTACTGAAGAGCAAACGTTTTGTGTGCGGATAGAATTAGGGGCAAAAGCCCTGAAAACTTTTAGATGGAAGTTGATAAAATTACATGCAGTACTACAGCATGTAACAAATTAGATTATGGAGGTTGCTGCAATACAAAAGGAATATGTTCACAATTCCAATAAGACCACTCAGTGACTCTAAAAGTTCCCTTCAAATTAGGCCTGGAGTTAATAAAATCCCTGAACTTCTACTCCAGAAAGAGTTATAAAAAGATTCCAAACAGCTGCTGCAAAAGTAATGCCCTTTACACTTGCCTGATACAAAACTTGACGCAAATACGTCAAAAGATTATGACATCAATGCATAAGACAAAATCTCAAGCTGAAAATTCCTATTAAAAGATGTATTAACAAATGCCTGACATAAAATCTCCACCTACAAATCCATGTCAAAAGCTTTGCTATACCAATGCCTAACACAAAATTTCAAGCTAACAACCCATATCAAAATTTATATTAACCCAATGACAAGTAAAAGTAGGCATGGCCACACTACGAGTTCATGCAACGAAATTAGAAAACCTCTAGAAATAGAAGTGAAAGGTAGAAGAAAACTGCATTACCATATTTTGACGTCATAAAATATCTTCATATTCATTTTCAAAACCCAAAGCATATGTCCAACAAACACTGACATCCTTCCAGCTATAGTTAGGAAACTACTTTGCAAATCAACACCAATTAGATCAATGACAATGCTCTTAGATGCTATATATTACTCACCCTGTTAGCACAAAACCATACGCAAGGTCTCGTTGAAGACAATGCATGCAGAGAGCTTCTTTCGTGTTCTCTGCTTTCCACAATCTCCAAGAAAAACTTGAACTAGAACCTAACATAAATTACCAAAATTGGTAAATTGTTGGTAAATCAGCGTTGAAATGAAAGATTTTAATATACCGTAATTCTGATAAACTGACGTTATGGCACTAAAAGAAATAAACAATGTCGTCAAAAACAACGCAGGGGAGTATCAAATTACTGACATACAAATGATGTTGCCATTTATGACACCTACTAGGAACTGTCAGATTGTAGAAATAGATATTTAATGGGTTGTCATTCTAACTTAGACAGCATGTAATTCAAGAACAGAAGGACCTTAAAATGGCTCATGTTCAGAAAACGTCCTTTCGCTTACATTAAATACTTTGATATTTTCTGAATTTTTCTAGATTAAGTCTTCCACATTAAATATGAGTGTTGTATTCCCGTAAAAGTTCAAATATACATGGTTACACATATGGCAAACGGTATATAGTATTGTCAACACAACTGATCATAACAATACGGGCTGCGATTTTATTTAACCTGCATTTGTGAAAAATGTTTGCATGTAAAATAAACATTTGTTACATTAACACACTTTCTGAACACGTCGACTTGTATTCCAAGCTTAGAAATCTCTCTGTATATACACAAAAAGCACAGGTATTGATCAGTAACGAAATTAATTTCCAATTCCAGCACTCGGTTGTTTTTCAGATAACACGCATCATGAGTGAATAACATGAAGTTCAGTAAAAGTTTGGAGAAATAACAACTTTCACGCAAGAATACATTCCTAAGATGTCTACCTTGTATCACTGTGTATCAATATATTTATCAATATATCTTGTAACATAATGTTGTCCAAAACGTTGGCTTTAATAAGGAAAATAATAGTAAAATTTAAAAAGTGGGTTTTCATTTTCATACATTATTGATAGAGACTATGTCTTTATTTAAACTTGATCTTCGTCTGGCATGAGATTCACAAGGAGTAAATGACTTGATTCGTGAATATCCATATGAATATTCTTGTGAATATGTATCTATATTTGTTATACCCGATAACAATAGTTGTATTTATATTTGTTATACCCAATAACACTAGTTGTATATGAATGAAGTTTACCTGATAAGATGAATTAAATCTGTAAAGGATTTATTTGATAGCAATATCTTTATCTCTATTGAGTTTACCTGATAACCCTAGTTGCATCGGCACAGTGTTTACTTAATAACACTTGTTTTACCTGTATCTTCTTTCACCTGGTGACACTATTTGTATCTGTGTTGGTTTTACGTGACAACGCCAGTTGTACCTGTATGAGGTTTAATTTATAACACGAATTGTATCTTAAATGGTTTAACATAATAATATTAGTTGTATTTGTATCGGGGTTTTGTTTTGCACATCACTTTGTAATTTGTAATGGGGATCACGATATTAACAAAATGCTTAATTTCTTTCTTTCGTTATGTTTTTACAAAGGGTGATAATATTTTTTTCATATATAACTACTGGTATAAGCCGGACACTTTGGAGGACAGTTACAGCCTGGAACATAAAATATAAATCTAAGTTCGTGGTGACATTAACGGGTAGTTAATCCTGCTTTTGTACATGATCAACAACATCAAGATCACGTTATTCAAAAAATTAAGAATATTAATTACGACCTTTCAACTCGTTTTGCTTATGGTATTTTAAAAGAACATTGTAAATGTTACTTAAGGCATTGCTTGTAATTTGTGACATGCCTTTACCATTCGGCTGGTTACGTAGTGCAGATAATAACTACTATTCGTCTCGATACATATAAGAGATCTTTACTGCAGTTCGGCTTGTTAAATCTAACAAATGTTAACTGCTGATTGGCTTGTTACACTTAGCAGGTCTTGATTGCTATCAGGCTTGTTACATATAACAGTTCCTTACTATTCTGCTTGTTTCCTTTAACAATTGTTAACTACTGTTCAGCGTCTTACATAAAACAAGTCTTGACTGAAATTAGAAACACAATTGGTCAGCGCCACTAGACATTTAAAACTGCGTCTTGAGATTCCTTAGCTAATCATCGCGGTTAGGCTTATCTAGCTGGTAACTGAATGTTGTAATGCTATCAACGCTGTTCTGTGTGTTAAAAGCTATCCATCCAAATTTATTTAGTTCAGTGTAACTGAAATAAGAACATTTACTGTCTTTGATTTGCCACATCTCGATTAGAACACGTATGAACAGAATTGATTTATAAATTTTATAACATATCATTCATGAATGTATCTTTTTATTGCAAGAATAGCTGTATTTCAAGAAACTTACCCAGAACTGAGGCATAATGAAAAAGGTTATATAGTGTAATGCATCCATTTGAAACACTTAATTAGGCAAAATGTTTTTGTAAAATCAAATTAAGAGTATTATTCTTAATATATATACTTTTTAAAAAGAGTTCCACTAAATTCCGGAAGGACAGATGAGATTAGAATAGTATAACTTTGTTGATCATTTACACCAGTCCACCAGCCACTGATATAGCTATCACCGCTTCAATAAAATATTTCAAGCAGTTTAAAAAAAGGAAATGACTGCAAGCTAATTCTCCAAATAACTTTTTGCAACATATTGTGACATGAAAGGGATTCACTACCAAGCGAGTCAATTATCTTCATAAATGTGACTAAAGATCTATTGTTTTTCATATTTCCTCAAGGCAAAAGTGTCGTTATAAGGTTCTTATGCAAATAATGCAAACATTATGTAATTTAATCACCAGGTGATCATACATCACGAAAGTGTAATTTTACATCAGCAGTTTTTCAGTTTCATATTTCTTTGACTCATCAGTACTCTTTTCCAAGCTGACGTGTGGTTTTTCTCCACGAACCACTACCCAAGCACATAATAAACAGAATTATTTATACTTGAAATTACTACACACCTATACATTAGAACACCTAGAGAATTCCTCGTGTTAAGGATTTAAGGAGAACCCAATTTGCAAAACTAATACGTTTCCTCTGAGTAATTTGCTGTTTACTCAACTTGCGAAATATCCTCCCAAGACCAGCTCAGCATACTCAATATAAATTACTAACATGACAGAAAGCTATACGTGAACATTTAATTCAATAGTTCATAGCCTATGTTGATTATAACGTTTTCATAAACTTTAGCCGAAAGTGGTAGAGAGGAAAACCTAAACCTTACTGCGTAAAAAGTGTTGTAATAAACGTTTCTAATAATATGTCTGAGAAATATTTTTATGCCACCACATTTATAGGCTTCAAATTATCAAGAAAATCATCCAAGTAGAGCGATCCGATGGCCAAGTGGTTAAAGCGTCAGCCTCGGATGCGGAAGGTTGCGGATTCGAACCCGGCTGAGACATACCATGATGCGACATGTCCCGATGCAAGACATCGCTATAAAATGCCACACTGCAGAATCGTAGCGATATGACTTAAAATGTTTTAAAGCTACTTTAAAATTCCAAATTACACACATACACACACACACACAAACACATTCCTCTTAGTAGAGTAGGAGGAGAAGCGATGACAAACTTAGTATCCCAAAAAATCCTTGTAAAATAATGTTTCAATATTTTTACCACAAAATGGTTTAGATAAATAAAACTTGTTTATGCATACACAATAGCCAATAAAGTTGCAAAAGCAATATTAATATCTTTGTGATATGAAAAGCTATCATAAACTTTGCCATGAAGACAGATTGAGACTGCTTACACGTGGATGACAATATCCCCCGCCCATAAGTGAAATTATGATGGAATCTTACAACTAATTAAATCCATGTCATCTTTCCAAATTATCACAAGTCTTCTACCATGAGCCATTTAATATGGACGGACAGTATTTGTTTAGTGGCTATCATAACTTAATTTCATCGATTCTTCTTTAAAAAATAGGAGATAAGATGATATTGATCGAAGCTGACACCACTGAAACGAACAAGAGAATATATATATATATATATATATATATATATATATATATATATATATATATATATATATATATATATATATATATATATATCTGTGTGTGTGCTTAAAAAAACTACTTTTTCTTCAAAATCTACCTAGTTCTTCATCACAGGTTTACAAAATGTATATCCAACGAAAATACGAAGATCAAATGCATGTATTTATTCAAACAGCGAGACAGTCAAAAAGTCAAAGTATATAACATGTTTTATATTACATTTTTAGGAATCGGTGATGTAAAGACTAATTGTCCGTTATTTTAAAATAGCTATATATTACATGTGTCGGTTATTTAGTCACAAAGGAGGCTAAAATGAAATTGTAAAAGCCTAAACTGATATGGGCTACATAGTTTATATTGATTAATTTATCTAAACACTAGGTCTGTTGTTTATTTCCTTCTTTATTGTATTAACGACTTAGATGTTTGTTATATTGACTTATTCATGCATTCGTTGGTTTTTGATGAGCAAATACGACTGGAAGATTCTTTCTTTGTATATATTCATTTGCGGCTGTGTAAAATTTGTAATTGGAGATTGATTAATTCTTTTGAAAATGTTATATATCAGAATTAGTTTGTGTGACTTTCGTCTAAATTAAACATTTTGATTAGAGAGCTGAATTAAATTTGTTTCACGATGGTATCTTCATATTAATACGTTCAAATCAAATTAAAGTTCTCTGATCTGATCGTCATTTAACCAAGAAAAACAATACGGTGTTTGCTCTTCCTTTTTTTTTTCTCTCATTTTTGGTTGGCTTATGACTGTCTTTGGCCAACCTTAATGGTTTTATATTTCTTTTTTCAATTCATTAACACGAACAAATGAGTGGAGAGCTGGATAAAATTAATCGTGAAAACTTTCCAGTGAATTTCTTTGTTGTTTTTAAGTTAAAGTACAATACTGTTTATCACATGTGCAAATAGTGCGCATGTAAATATTAAAATAAAAAGGATATTTGATGCTTATTGTCACCTATCAAAAAATAATTGTCATTTTTCTTTTGCAAAGCTTTTTTGCTTGTGATTTTGAAATATTCAAGACTTATTCAAGTTTTGTCTACCTTCTATTTATTTGAAGTAATTATTAAGACAACACAACCGCAATTTGAGATTGATCACAAATTAATCTAAAACATATTCCAACTGATCTTTACAACGACCTAAACTGGGATTAAAAGTATGGAGAAATAACCAATGCAAACTTGTAGTAGTTTAAACTTAATGCATATAAAATAGCAAAATTGAAATTTTTTAAAAACTCATTACATTATACAGGATACTAAGACATGTTTAATACAAAATGCGCATAACATTTATTACATCGCTACAAATTCTTCTGAAAGAAAACATTAAAAAGTGTACAGAGAATAACAAGGACTACCAATACATAATGAAGTAAGAAAATAGTGAGAACCACAATCAATACACACATGAATATATAAATCGAAGACACAGCAATTGTTAAACTTTCTGCTAAGCTAACAGGATAAAGGTCACAATTTAATGAATTTAAGAAGGAATGAAATCATATACTATGATAGATATACTCAGCGTTTCCTTATTTGGCTGTTACCGTAAATGGTTGAAGTTTGAATTGCGAAAAACAAATAAAATGTGTTACCTGTAATGATTTTAGAGAAGAAAATAATTTGATTTATTCTAGTAATGAATAGCAAAGAAACTATTTTCACTAGTCAATGGATAATATCTGATAGCTAGTAAAGTACGTGTGGAAACAAAAACCGATAAAATGCCTACTAAGGAGAAGATAGATAAGTGTAAATTAGAAGCTTTTGAAACTGCAAACATTATTGGTTAGGAGATATTAGGATAACATGTTTGGTGATTGTTGGAGTACGCCTTCAAATACTGCAACGATGGAGTGCACATCCACACCAGGTCTAACGTCAAGCTGTTCAACATCGCTCGTCTCAGTGCAAAAACTAAAGTCACAGAGATTATCATCCTTGAATTGTTCTTCGCCGACTATGCAACCTTGACATCACAAATGGAAGACGGACATCAGCAGCTGGTATGTAGCTTCTCCCACACCTGTAAAAAGTTCGGACTGACCATCAGTTTGAAGAAGACGAATGTCATGGCGCAGGATTCAGCCTCTACTCCAACAATATATATATATATATATATATATATATATATATATATATATATATATATATATATATATATATATATATATATATATATATTACTTATGTGTCGGTTTTAAATTATTTTCTTTTATTTTATTTCATTACATGTTATTATAATGATAACTTTATTCACTGGATTCGACATTTTTTCCGGAAAATTTTTTTCAGCTCGTCTAGACCTGATAAACAGTCAGTTGCTTCAATAATATACAATCTCATCTGACATCAAGTAAAGTAGTGCAATAGATGAAGTTCGATAGACATTACGCACTTTTAATAGAGTGACTGGTGTGAGGTCAAAATGTTTGGATGAGCATCGAAGAGACTGTGCGCATACCCCTATAATACTCTCCTGTATAATGGCTGAAATATCTTTACAGTTTCTTGTTGTGAAAATTTTCCCCAATCTGAGCACACATGTGATTAAAATAGTTGCCACAGTGCCCTCGAAAAGTCAGCCTGAACTATTCCTATGTAATCTCACTTTAGCAGTGAAAACAATTTACTATGAGACAATACCAATTGTTGAAAGTGCAATGAAAGAACTACAAAATATATAAAAAGTAAATAACTAACTATTCGCTATTTTACAATTTTCTTTTAAACGTCAAAGGAAAATGACCAAACGGAGGTATAAGTTTAGTTTATAGGTGTACATCTGACCTATCTTTATTCTCTACAAACCAAAGTACAGCAGTCAATTGTACTAAACAATAAAGAGTATCAAGTGTTCGTTTAACAATACCTAAAATAAACAAGGTCTCTTTTGAACTTATGCAAAGAGCGAACTGCAGAGTGCCTCCTTACTGAATCAGTATCTTATGTCAATGTATCTGGTGGCCTAGTGGTTAGAGCGTCCGCCTCGTATGCTGGAGGTCGTTCGTTCGATACCCGGTTGAGTCTTACCAAAGACTTGCAAAAATAGTACTAACAGCTGCTTCGCTTGACGTTCAGCATTAAGAGGTTAGTGTTAGGACTTTTCAGCCTATTGTCAGGATAATGTTACTGGGTGGAACATCATGCCACGTGCCTGCAGAATGATGCCCCAGTGCTAGACATCACTATAAACTGTCACATTGCAGACATTGTAGATATATGACTGATAAATTGTTAATGCTACGTTAAAAATCTAAATCACATCACATTACATCATATATGTCAATGTAGGCGAGGCGTGTGGGTTTTATTGATACAACAATAAAATGGCTATGAAAGTGTCAATAGTTGATAAGCACATCGTTAAATTATTACATATGTATATTTTACCAACCAAACATAGTGAATATACTGATATACCATTTTTCGATACCCTTTAATTTAACTCTATTCCCAATTTGAAAACAAAACCCAAAAAATTATCGCGTAGCATGACTCTTTCTGGAATTAAATTCACAGGCACTATGTCTGATATAAATTTAATATGATTTACATGGAGGACACATACGGGTACTAACCTGTCTATTTTGCTAATGCAACTGAATCCGCGATCACTAGAACACGAGTCGTGTGATAATGACTCATCTTTATTGACAACCATACATTTTATATCGTTTCATATTTTTTATCATAACCTAAAGAATAGTATAATTGGTGATGATAAAGCTTTCTTATGCATCAAGCGCGAAGATAGACTGTATTGAATCAAGTTTTGAATTTGGAACATTTAATTTTATCAAACGCCGTAAACGAATATTACTCAGTTGCCCATTTATAATACATATCTACAGATAGTGTTTTATTAGTGTCTTTAATACAATCATAATTGGATATTTACTATATATATTTTTGTTATCTAACACAGTAAACAATGCAAAACATTTAGTATTTCCCCATGTCTACTTTTAACGCATCATCATACGTTTCAGTTAGATGCATTTAGCGTTTTCATTTCTTGCTAATAAAATGTATTCTTTAATATTATTTATATAACAGCGATTAATTTAAATATAATCAAAAGCTAATTTTTCGATTTCTTCATAACCTTTGACCTTTCACAACTATTTGTTCCTAAACGGGGTGTACAATATTTGGAAAACAATCCATAAGACTATAAATATTTTAAGAGTGGTGCACTACCCATATTCATTAATTGATTATATTTAAAACTTTTAATCCTAGTAGTATAAAATTTAGGTATGCATTTTCGTATTTTATCATGAAAAAAGAGCATGAAGGAGGACAGTGCTATTCATCTCCTATTTCTCGAGACTGATAAAGTATACAGTA